TTAACTTACATTTTAATTTTAATTTTTATGTATTTTTAACGTACTGCGCGTGATTTTTATTTAATATAGACGGGATTTAATTTTAAACTGTTACCTGATTTTTTCACTGGCGGAATTTAAATGTAACCAATTTTACCTGTTTTTTTTCTAGGTGGCTTACAATAAAAAAAAAAAGGTACTTGTGGCAAAATTTGCATGCGTCCTTCAAGTGTACTGTACCTATACAAAATAACTAAAAGATACCTAATAGAATATAATAAGAAGTTCAAAAAAGATTCAGTAAATTTAATTTAATTATTTACAAATTAAAAATTAGGTAATTTTTTTAGTATTGTTTTTAGTTTTAATTTCAAAAATAATTTTGAAATGTATTTGGTAAAATTAGCTTGAGATGGATAAAACCACACAGGAGATATAAAATATTAACACTTATTATTCTAGATAAATTTTCTTAATAAATTATTTGGTTTTTGGAAAATTAAACAAGACTAATCATTAATAGAATAATTTATCATCCGGATTACCACGTTCACTGGATCATTGGAGATGCGAACTATATCGAGATTTTAATAGAAATGTTCTACAGTATATAATTTGAATGTACTATTATGAATAAATATTATGTGATAATATAATATTAATATGTTATAATTATTTGCATTTTCAACTTTCAAGTATAATAAAATACCTACATCACAATAATTACAATATTCACTATATGACCAATATATGTTCGAAGACTCAAGATATATTGATATATGTATAAATACATCATACACGTGTCTTAAAGTTAGATTTGCAGACTCCACGCATAAAATATAACGCCCACGGAGGGGATTGAGCTCTAATTCAAACCATTCTGGTTTAAGGTTTCTGCCCCACCTTTAGATTGTCTAAGTATAACCTCACGAGCATAGATATATAATACACAACAGTATATGCTCCCCCCTTCGATATAACCCTCTGCGATCGTCCTTGGTATCCTTGAACTTCACCTTTCTTATTAACAATATTTTTACCAATGGTCTAGTATATAATTATGATTATTAACCTATACCAACTTTACCAATTTTCATAAATCTAATTTATTTAATGTACCTAAGTACAGCAGGTTTGCGAGGTATATATACAGAATTTAGTACTCACTAAGAAACAGAGTGCCGTTTGACACTGATAAGTTCATATACGCATTGCGTGAACTTGGTACCTATTTTGCGTTTTTGTTTATGATCTTGTGTACTTATTAATATAATAATATATGATTAAATATTAATTATTCTAGGTTTAAGAAGTGTGTGTGTGTGTGTGTTATCATAAGATATATATTTAAATATATATAGGCTTGAATAAAAATTGTTTAATCTTACAAATTTCAAAAAAATATGTTAATTTATAAAATTAAATAAGAATTTTTTTTTTTTTTTAATAATTTGTAATTAAGATTGTCGAAAAGTTGCCGAAAGGTAAGCAAAAATATATATTTATTTTTATTAATATAATATACGCATATTAACTATGATATGGAAGATAAAATAAAAAAATTCCATATATTTTATAGGTACAGTGATATGAATTATTTAAACGGGTTTTAAATCAATTTTATAAAAAATAACTTTTTCAATGAAGTTAAATTTAGATTAGAGTTCAAGAGTTTATAGTGTTTTAAAATGTTGAGTTATCTAATAAAAATGAAAGTTAGAAGTAAAAATGTTTAAAGTGTATTCAATACAACATTACAACAGTGTTCTAAATAAGATTTAAGTAACATTTAATTATATAATTTAAATCATAAATAGTTTTCAGTTGAGTGTGTTTATATAAATAACGCATCATGCCAATATAAAATTAATATATATGTAAATATTTATTTATAATAAGGATAATTTCAACTTTTTAAATAACAAAATAAAAATGTACTACAATTATTTTTATCCTTAAAAATTACTCATTTTAGCAAAAAACAAATGTGTTTTCTTTTATTTTACAATGGAAATCATTAATTCCAGTGTTTTACAAATTTTAAACTACTACTTACATTACAAAACATGTTTTCGATGGTTTTATTTTTTTTTTAAATTAGTTTGGTTAGAATAACATATAAATTTATTTTATCATATTATAATATAATATATAAGCTTGTATTCAATTGTTCAATCTTTGTAATAAAAATTAGAAATACGTTACCTGTAAAACACAATTTTTATTACGTTTTCAATCTATATATAAAATTAAGAACACTTTATTACACCATAATAATGATTATCAATAAAATCAATCATTAAAATTTTAAAAATATCATAAAATAAACAAATAATAATAATAGATAGATATAGTTTATTTTACCTATAAGGATATAACCTATAGGTACTCATCTAAATAATATCTTCAACAGTCATTATCTTTCATACAGTATACAGTATACATACACCATAACTCTTTTTTTTATTATTATTATAAGGTCGTTTAATTATCTAAGAACTTAAAAACTAATCAAGCAGGTGTACTGTGTTGTTATATAAAAAAAAAAAAAAACATGAGAAAATAATTTGACCTTGTAATTTGCTAATAACTAATGTTTATTCACACGTTGGTGTCATAATATGACCGTTTTTTTAAACTTAAGGTTTTATTTAATTTTAATCAAACATAGGCACGCTATTCAATTTAGATATTATCAATAGTAGTTTATGAAATACGAAACTATATGAGCTATTACTTATCAGGAAGACTAATAACTAATAACTAATAACTAAAATTGTGTTTGTTTCTAAAATAGAGCAAGGATTATAGTAGTTTTACAATGAAGTTTTTTGTTGTTATTGTTACGGAATAATACATTGTTTTCCATTTTTCTATAAATTAGCTTAAAATAAAAAGAGAGTTATAGTGTCAATTTTTATTTTTATTGAATACAAAATTAGGTAAGTTCTGAATGGTAAAATATTGATTTTAAGCAAGGCCGCCCGCAGACATTTTTCTCAGGGGGGGCCAGCGAAAAATAATACACTTACCATAAATTCTGTTTTTTAAATCACATCGTAAAAAAAAATTATTTATTTATTTTAATATTACAAGTGTCACCTTATCAGTTATCAGTCCTCCTTATCGCCCTCCAAGACGCTATTTAAAATCTAAATAAATGCAATAAAAATTAGGTAATATCTTAATTAGCGGGTGGGGGGGGCCTTGATTTTAAGTGATACACACTGGACTAAATTACATTGTATACGACATTAAGTACAATTTTAAATAAATATGCAAGTTTATTTAACCAGTAATAATTAATAAATATGTATTGACTATTGGATGTAATAATTAGAGTAAGCCGAAAATTATAGTTTAAAAGATTCACGGAATTTTTTTAATATAATGATAATTATTTACTTTAAATGAGAATTTAAAGAAAAAAAATGTTTTGAATATTTATCGTAAGAAACTTTACTTCTATTATTCATAAAAATACAATTCAAAAACCGAAATCCTAAATTTTTTTTTAAAGTATACCTATGTTATTAGATGTAGTTGTAAAATATAATTATCGAAGTAATTTAAATATTAAACTGATTGTTAATTTTGAAAAAAATAACCTATTTTAACATTAAAAATTAGTTACTAAATAATTTAGTATTTAGTTTAAATTATGATAAATTAAATTCATAAATCCACTTTTAATGACATATGCTACATATAAAAAATTTCAAGTTCATCCAGCTGTTTAAAAATTATTTTAAAAATCTTACTACTTATAATAAAGTTGAGACAGATTTATTACATGAATTAAATTCTTATAAATAGCAAACATTTGACTCGATCTATTTTTATGAAGTAAAAAAATAATTTTTGTAGTCGGAAAATTTCTTAACCTTTGAAGTATTTGTTTCAACATCATAATATAAGCAAAGATGTGCAATATTTTAAACTTTGTTGAACTGTTTTATCAAGAATTCATTACAAGAAAAAAATGTAAATACTCAAAATAATGGTAAAAACAATAGTTCTCTAACTCCATTTTATTTATTTAAAAAATATATTACTATTTAAAGGTAGCATGCATATTTATAATTAATTTTTAAAATTTAATTTAAAAAAAATATTTTATTCCATAAATTATGTGTATGTAATAGTAGTTATGGTGAGTTAAAATTACGCAGTATAGATTTTAAACAATCATAATCTAATTTTTTAAAACAGACGACTGAACTATATGTAGTTACTCATTGTTAAAATTAAGTGTATGTAATTCAATAAAATCTGCAATTTAGATGTACTTCTTTGGTTCATATTCAATTTAGTTATTAATAATAATATAATATTCTCTTACAAAATACTTATAAGTCATAATTATTTGATCATTATTTCAAATAAATGTTTTTGCCTTTTACATATAAATAATTATTGAGATTTTTGGTCGTTTCAGAGTATTAGACAATTAAAAATACGTTTATCGACTTTGTTAAAATATACTAATTTTGTCTAAAATAATTTGTTAAAACGCACAAGGACCATCGTATTTACCTGTATTTTACATGAAATATGAAAGAAGATTCGTTACAAATACTTCTTGCTTATAAATCAGTGAGGATCTTGTATTTTTTATTTTTTTGTCAATAATTAATTACGTTATAATAGATAAATCATTAACAGAATTAGTCTTCTTGTAAAAATAACTTAGTTTCATACAATAGAAAACAAAAAAAACATGTCATCCTTAATGTTAAGTCCTTGTAACTTAATAAGTAGATCGGTCACAGAATATAGATTTTTTGAATAGTTATATAAATACACCACATTTTATAATATATGCAATTTTTATACATACAGTATAAAATATGCATTACTTACGCATATAGCATAGGAAACATGTTACATACACAATTACCTTTCTCGAAAATATTATAAAACTTGAATCAAACAGACACAATGGAAATAATAAAATGTAAAACTGGTTTATTCTACTGCCAATAGGATGATGTTTTCAAACTGAACAGCTCTACTCAGTACTCACAGACCACAAAATTAGTATCAGTGACCGCGTACCACGGTGTGATACACCATTCAGTAATCTGAACTTGACTTAACATTGTAACCGTAACAAAAATATGTGTTTGTTTTGATAAGAAAAATATTATATTTTACGCTCATTTTTCTGCTCTTCAATCGATTTTTTTGATCCAAGGGATAAGGTAAGCAATTTGACATTATAAGATAAAAGTGAATTGGTTTCAAGTAAATGTAAACTTTATTTAATCATATTTTAATTAATAATCAAAGACATTAACAAATCATATTCATAGCAAATTAGATTTTTCTATATTATGTTTATATATTCTTTCGACAATTTATTTGTGAAATAATTTTTTACGGACTGTAAAAGTGCACCAAAAATAAATTTAACTAGTTATAAATATCAAGATCGGTATAGTACCGATATACCAATTGTGTTTTAAAAAATAAATAAAAATAAAAATATTCAATGTATTAACAACTGAAATAATATTTCTTTGATTTTACTCATAACATAACTGATTTTGATAATTGCTACAGTGATATTCCAATTAATAATAACAATACTTAAACTACTATCCTACTTGCTGTACTTAACTTTATAAATAAGAAAAATATTCAATGATTGAAAAGGTTTTCAATAAACATTTTTAAAATCAATTACGGTAACTTAAAATATTTAAATAATAGTATAAAAACAATAAAATTTTACTCTATTACCTTAAAAATAGTTATAAATAATTATTTTAAGGGTAACTTCTACAATACACATTAATAACGAAATGAGTTTTGATTGCTTATATTTTGCATTATTTGATCACATCTATTATATGTACATATATTTTAAAAAAGTTCATTACCAAGTCATTTTATCCTAACTTACATTTTTTTACATAACTTTATTTTACATTAAAGTACTTTTATAGAAATTAAAATTTTTAATTTTCCAACTGTTTATAAAACATTTTTAGAAATAAATCATAGAAACAAAGAATAATTGTTGATTTAAAATTAATTATTAACATATTGATAAATAAATATTTTAATAAAAGTGGTTATATAGTATTAAAAATATATATCACAATAATTATTAATTATTTGAAATTATATTTTTATAACATCTATTGAATTTATAATTTTACGCATAATATAACTTTTTTAAGATGATAAACAAATATTGAATAATATTAAGCAAGTCATCACTGTATCAACATGATGTATACAAATTAACAAATCAAATGTTTAGCTAAAACTTTACTACACTATTACAACTATAATATAATATAATACTAGAATAAGTAAAAAATAATTTCTAAAGTCATTATGGTTGTTATTTTTTTTAGTTACAATAACAAAATTACGTTGTATGTATAGGTATTAGGTATGATAGATTAGAGGTTTATAAAATATAATTACGTGGGACGAACGTGGGTAAAACCCTAGGACGTACAGGAAATCAAGTAATTATTAAAGAAACCAAGAATGAAAATTATACAGTTAATCCATGTTCATTTATATATTTATTCTGTATGTATAGCTAAATGTAAGCTGTACCATAATCTTTACAAATGTTAGCAGAAATATTAATCTGTATTCACAATATAGTTATCATCAAACCTATAGTAACAGTTTGTTGTGAATTTAAGTGTTTTCTACACTTCGGTGAATTCACACTTTTGCACTAAAACGTATTGCATTTTTGTATTAATTATGAAGTTTTAATAATGAAAATAATAATAATATAAACAAAAATAATATAAAATAACCAAACAAATTGATAACAATAATTATGAAAAATAAGGCTAATGCGGTTACTAAAAATTAGTGAGTATATAGTATTTAATTTACTATGATTTGGATTGTTAAATATATAAATGTTTTAAAGTAAATATAAGGTATAAGGTCAATAATTAAAATAAATAGGTTTTTTTAATATATTTTTGGAACTGTGTATATTGAATGGTTCAGAAGCAAGTGTAATAAAAATGTTATAATCAATACAGAAACTTTAGTTTATTTTAAACAACAATTTAAGGTAATGATAAATTTATAATAAAATATTACTTATACTAGATAGATATTTGTCATATATATCTAAATAATTGTTTAAAAACCTAAATTAATGGAGTAAATATATGCATTTAGTTATCGACTTATTTAAAAACCGTACCAAAAAATTAGACACTCAAGTTTTAATTTTTTTTTTTTTAATTCAGCAGAAGTATCGGACTTTAAACATTATTTTATAATTATGACAAAAATTACATTAAATAACCAATAATTTAGTTGATTGTTTAACTAAAACCAAAAAAAGAGTAATATTAATTACACTAACAACGTTTAATAATTTGCTATTAACATAATAATATGCTTACATTTTTAATTTGATAAAATAACCTTATAATCACGACATAATAGAATAATTTATTTATGTTGTTCCTTAATCCTTAGGTAATAATGATCATATAATGAAAATAAACTTTACTGTAGGATCATTGAACTTAACTCATTTTATTATTGCGATTATAATGAAATTTATGAGTCCTATAAAGAATGAACTCACAGAGATTTATAGCAAATGTATAATCATTAAATATAATTTATAAATTAAAATTATATTATTAATAAGCAAGATTTATTTAACAAAATATTACTGTAAATATAAATAAGTAGCAATTATAATTAGTATTTAAATTAGGTTTAATACTAAAACAAAATCCAGTTAATTTGTAAAATTAAAACTCATTTTAATTCATTCTAGGTATTGAGTATAATAATAATTTGATTATTTTATTTATTTATTGTACCTACCACATTTTTAATCATTTCAATAAGAAATTAATAACATTTTAATTTATTTAATTAATTATTAATCGTGTTCGAGCAAAATATATTATTTTTAAATAGTAAATACGTAATAAAAAAATTGCGCACAACTGGTTAATAATGAAACAACTATTCTATAAGATTTTGCAAATTATAAAGAGTAATCATATCATAGGAATCAGGAAATAAAAGAAATATCCCCACTTTTCAATAAGAATACCGATTATTGTAATAACCTACCGACAACTTAAACAACATTCCACTCATGAGTTGCCCGAGTCAATTTCCGCAAATCAAGTAAATACATGGATCCATGGGTTCTTAAAATATATTATTTACAATAATATGAATCACTAATAATTGTTAAACCAACTATATATCTATTATTAAATTTTACACATTTAAAATAAGGCAACATGCTTTTTATTTAATTAATGCTTACATTTGTTCGACAAAAATGTGTATTTATTTATTTTACATGTTACGATTATGAAATACATATACCTACTATGAGCAGAAATAAATTAATCCTTGATAAATATGAATGGTAAAAAACCATAAACTGTATATTTTAATATATTTTAAATACATTTGGATTTGTTAAATGTGTTATTTTCAAATCAAAATAAATTCTTAAACCTATTTAATCAACGAAAAACAGTATTTTTACAAATTCAAAAGATCGTTATTATTATGACTTCACATTAAACCCTTTAGTCGTAATCCACTTACTAAAGACTGAAAAGTAAAATTCTTTGTCCGGCTTCGTGACAACAATCAAAAAGGAGTTCACCTTCAAAATATAATATGGTAACTCGAAGATAAAATACGCTTTGCTCATACCATAATATTAAAGTATATCTATAACCGCAGAAGTATTTCGTAATAATGGAATCGTTTAAATTAAATATTAATTAAAAATAATTTTTTACACTATCTACTATTTAGTCCAAACTTCAATAAAATAATCTAATACAATATGTTTTGAAAACATGAATTATACAATTGAATAGGTACAATATAGAGCATAGCTCATTTCCGCCAAAATTTATTTTTGTTAAAAGACGTTTCCGTCAATTATTATTTGGGAATCGTATACAATTGCATCTTACGTTTCAAGTATTACATTTTCTTTTTCCAAAATACTGGCTGTACAATTTTTCATTAAACATCCCCACCGAGTTATGTTATATATTATGTTTTTGACGTATCCTCTTTTGCTTACAACAAATCCTGTTTTAAGAACGTTATTAACTGTTTAATAAACAGAACAGATACTGAATCAAAATATAAGAATTTAACATTTGTCAAATAATTATTGTGTGCGAATCATAATTAAACTATAATACAGTTTGTGCTTCCTTCCGTTATCGATAAATAATGATTATCAACAATTATTGAAAATTGTCGTTGTTTGTATTGTTGTACTTATGATCTTCGCAATTGTTTACAAATGGCATTACTATTACCTACATATTAAAATACTATATTTTATACTTACCACAAAATATGTTGCTTAAAAATTAAAACTATTAGTTTCCAAAGTTTTTTGGTGGAAACGTCTTTTTTTTGGCGGAAACAGGTAACTCCCACAGTATAATAGGATATTAAATATATCGAATAATATTTTAAAAACTTACTATGTACACATATTACAAAATAGTACCTAATAGTATATAATTTTATTTAATTAGTTGAATTTAAATGTATAAATTATTGTTAAAGATTACCTAGTTAATAAAATTCAATATTGAATAAATAATAAACATCATATACTGTATAATATTATATATCAATGAAAAATTAAATAAAATAAAATGTAACCTTATAGAGAAAGAAATAATTATTATAATAATTTTAATACTATATTCCGTTTATACCTACTAAAAAATTATCAGCTTAAGTAAAAAATATGTTATTTTCATAATATTATTATATCAATTATTTTTACCTATAGTACTTTTTTTATATTTTGGTCGATTTAATATATAATATTGTATTTAAATTGTTAACAAAAACAAAATGAATAGGTTATCGTAATATTGCAGATAAATTATGAAAAAGTACAGGAGAACAACTTAAATATTTTTATTTTTAAAATGTCATGTACATATATATATGTATAAATTAGTATTAAATTAAAATATGCTGTATTAATTGCTCAATTTCTGGATCTGCATACTTCTATTAAAAAAAAAAAAAACTAAATTTAAATATAAGAAACATGATATATATTAAACTTTATTAATATGTATGAATTATGATAATGTTAAAAGAATAGATACAGGAAGTTATTATAAGACAGTAGTTCACCAGTTTCAAATTTAAAGCCGGTTATAAAATATTATTTATATTTATATCACAATATATTGTACAATATAATTGTATATAGCATTTCGAGAGCAGACACGTTTTAATTACACGTATATGAATAGTTCAGGATTCTTATTTGAAACACAATTTTATTTTGTCATTTTAAATATTCACAGTTAACTTTTGTTTAAAATATATTAAAAAACAGTTTTTGTATTTACGAATGAAATGCAAAAAATAAAAGCATAAAGAAATTGTATTTTATACAAATTTAAACTTAACTAAAATATATTAATTATTGGTGATAGAATTTATCAATGTAAATAAATACAAGTAATATGTAATAATAATAATTTAATCAATATAATTACAATCATATAACATGACAATGATAATGATAAAAATTATATTTATATATATATATATTATATGAATGTAATAGATAAACTAAATTATAATGATAGCTTAATGTCTAAATAAATGTTAAAATACTTAAATAAGTACTGTATACAAATACAAATATAAAAACGTTTCGGTAATCGGTGGTATACGTATACCCGTATAGATCTCATAGCCATATACAACTTATACGTACGTAATAAATATTATTGATACTTACATAATTATATACAGTAGGAAAAGGGACAATTCATAATTGAATTAGGCTGAATTTATTAATTTTGGATACTCATTTAATCTATAACACATAATGTCATGAATTGACTTCCTATGTTAAGTTATAAGTAAATTTTTAACACAATATGTAATAATAAACAAAAAATGATAATTAATAAAAAGAAAAATTACAAGCGAAAAAACACAAATAATACAAAATAATAAGCGCCATCTATCTAATCTCTTTTTCTAGAAATAATATATCCAGTTATTTACATTTATATTGGGCTATTCTTTTATCAAACTTGAAATTACATTAATTATTTTAAAATCTCTTAACTTTTTAAAATATATATCCCCGGAAAATGTCTACTTACTCCCCTCATCAAAACTTTAAATACTTATAACTTATAAACTACTTGTCCAAATTTTGATTTTTTATACGTCGAAATACTCCGAAAAATATTTTGCTTCGGAGTATGAAATTAAAAATATTTGTTGTCATTCAAAAAATTAAAACACTTAAAAATTATAACGATAAAAATAAAAATAAATTTTATTGTTTTATTTCAACTGGAAATTACAAAAATAAAATTTTCTCAAAAAAGTTAATAGATTTTAAAATAATGAGTGTAGTTTGATAAAAGAATCACTCTATGTACTGCGAAAAGTTACATTTGTATAGATTTATTATTATTTTAACGGTAATCACATCGTTATTAAAACGTGTTAGAACATTATGTATAATAAATATTTTCTAAAAAAATAATTTCCAACAAAACTAATAATTCTTATCAAAAAAGTATTTGTTCCCAGAGTAAAAAAATCACATTTTATTCAATAAATTTAGGTACATAATAAGTAAATCGTTAAATTACTTCTAGTAGGTATAACCTATAAAATGTTACTAATAATGAATAAACGCGTAAATTACAATATAATATTAAAAATCACTACAGCGCAACAGCCAATAATCTTTATGAGAATCAGGAATTATTTATTAAAACTAGGAACTAGCATATTTAAATAACACAACATGAAAATCTAAGGTCTGTCGGTTTCATTATTCAGCAACCAGACATAACCTTGATCTTCACGAATTTGCGACTGAGAGATTTTGGAGCTTTAACTGCTATTTTTTATAGGTGATACAAAGCGAATGGTTGATCAGTATCAGTATAGACTGTTGGTACAAAGAAAAGGGATAATATTATATGATAAACCGGATAAACGAGTAATCAATAATCATAAAATTACTAATACATCGTAATAACTGCACAAGATCACCATAATAATTATTACCATACCGGTTAAGAATGCATTATTTCTAATATTTAATGTCATGTAAAAACACACTATTAATTATTATTTTCATAACTAAAATGAATATTGAAAAACATAGTTTTGCTTTATTTGATTAAAATATTAACATTCCTCTTTATTATTATCATCAGTTTCCGTTTAACACCCAAAATACTTAAGAGTCTTAGATATTGTTAACTAAAATTAAATTATTTAAATAAAATAATTTTCATCGTTATTCCAGTTTTTTTTTTTTTTACAAATAATCTAAAATTTCTAAAAGTTTAGCAATTTTAATTTCCTAATAAATTTAGGTCAAATTAACTAAATAGGTACGTGGTACGTTTAGAGTATAGGTATATGCATGTGAGTGTTCATTGCTATATATATATTTTTTTTTAACGACAAAAAAAAAAACAAACCGGTTATGAATCATTTCCTATTGATCCGTACTTATACAAAGTATTCAAATAAATAACATTATCTTATTATGTATTGAATATGAGAATATAAACGTAACTTGTTTTAATGTATAATAATATAGGTAAGTAAATTTAAAAATAAACATGAAGTATGTGTAATTATATGTTATATTTAATAAAAAAATTATTACGTGTTATGGAGGTAAGTCAACCACTAAATACATTGATCAATTTGAAAATAAATTATGAATATTGCTATATTAGACAAGGTAAAGGTTTAACGTTAGATACGTTAATTCTAAAAAATATTGAAAATATTGTTTGCTATTATTTTTAATTTAATTAAGGCGTATGAAATAAATGATAATACAACTTAATGTTTTTTATAATTATTATTTTTGACACATTGTGTATTATCCACACTTTTTAATATTATTATTGATGCTGTAATGATTCTGAAACATTAGCTTAATACCTTATATATACTGATAATTTTTTTCTTTTTAATAGTTTAAAATCTAAAGATGGAAGAAATCAATCTCGATCATGTACATGAAGCTAATAGTGACGTCAATTTAGCAGTTAAAATAACTGATGCGTATAAAGCATACAACTCATCGATCATTGTATTAAATGGATTTAACATGAATGTAAAAAAGGGAACAATGTAAGTTTTTATATAGTTTTTTTTTATTCATTTTTGTTTTTATTACTTATTGGTGCTTGAAAACTTATTTTTTAATTATTTAATATTATTGTATTAAATTTTACTCAATAGATATGGCTTACTGGGACCAAGCGGATGCGGCAAAACAACATTACTTTCTTGTATTATTGGCCGAGGTAGATTGGACTCTGGACACATACAACTTTCTGTAAAAAAGAAAAAAGAAATAGGTTACATGCCACAGGTAATTACAAAACTATTATAAAGACCACAATACAATTAATAAAAATATGACGGATAATAACAGAATTACATAATTAAACATAAATGTGAGTTGTGACCTAGTGGGTATGTGAAGAAAAATTCAGATTGATTTTGCAGTATACTCCTCATAACCTCGTGAATATAAAATTCTAGATTTTAGATATTATAATACGCAGAGTCACAATCAAAAAATGTTTCGCAATTTTTAACTAGCCACTGGCTTTTATAATAATTATTACAAATTTTGACACCCCCTCTATTGTAATCGTGTTATTACACAATATAACATTAATTTTTTTTTTTTTGACAAAATAATGTATTTGTGGTGTCATTAATTATTATAGTATTAAATTTGTTTTTCGTACATATTACATTATTTTTATTATTATTAGGAAACTTTAAAGTTAATACTAACATACCGTAGACAATAGAATAGCTACATATAAAAGTGTCCAGAGGCAAAATACAGTGTGAAGTGTGAATAGATTAAAGAAATAGCTATTCTGAATCTAAAATAGAATATTATTCTATGACGTTGAGCTTCTCGTATCTCAATATCTTATACTCTACTATCGAGTGGTGTACGTACTAACTAATGGCAATAAAACAGTAATTTTTTGAACAATTAAATAACTACATACTTCATACGTTTACATTTCTATAAACAATAAATCTCTGTCTTAATTCTTGGCAAATTATCTCCCTAGCTATTGCCGTGACTTTTATCAAATTAAATATTTTATCCGTTTATCAGCTGTTTTATTTACGTATCGTTGATTTAATATAATGAATAGCTTGTGTTAATTACTAATATATTATATTGTATATACATTACTCTTCAATGTAACGTATTGTTATTATCAGCGACTTTAGTAAAGCTACACTATTCTGAACATATTACAATAAATTTGATACATAATTAAATACACATAGGATTTATACTTGATAATATTTATAATTTAATAATTTAAGTATTACCTAGTATATCCTTATCAATAATGAGTAAACAATATGACGGTAGATTTGTTAACGCGATATAGGTACGAGGTGATTCATGTAATGTAAGATACTCTTTATTTCATAAAATATAAGGGTTTTTGAAAATATTTCTTTTACATAGTTGTAAGTCGTTACTTAACAACATTTTTGAGAAAAATTATTTCTTAGCATTTTTATTTTTTTTTACTTTTTGAACGATAAAAATATTTTGACGTTATATTACAAAATAGAATATTATCAGGAGTAAACCGATTTTATAAAAATTAAATTCAGACAAATACAAAATAATATACGTTTACAAATACGTATTCAACGTTTAGATAAGCAGCATAAAGAGCCAACATTTTTTGGAATATTCCTATACTAGATACTTTTTAGGTAATTTTAAATAATTATAAGTCATAAACAGTTTGTCCAAAATTTAATTTTTATGTATCAAAGTAGGTACTTCAAAAAGTATTTTGCTTTTTTTTATTTATTTAAGGAATTAGAAATTTAAAAGTAATAATAAAAAAATGGTAAAAATAAAAATATTTTTTAGAAAAATTTTACTTTTAACGACTTAATATTATGTAATATATTTTCAAATGTTAACAGTTTTTTTTTTTTCAAATAATGTTACATTAAATGAGTCAACTGATATTTATATACTGCAAAATTAATTATTTTTTACCTACGTAAGTACTAGAAAAATAGGTAAACTTATAATTAATATTTATTAATATTATCTATATGACTATTATTTAAACTTATATTTTAATATACTAATATATTTTAATTTAGGACTTAGCACTTTACGACGAATTTAACATACTAGAAACTTTTCATTATTTTGGGTCTTTGTACGAAATGTCTTATAAAGATATTGTCGATAAAGGTAAAAAGTTGATAAGTTTAATGGAAATGCCATCGGCTGAGACTCAATTCGGTTCAATGAGGTAACTTTAGAAAAAAAAATATAAGCATAATAAACATTTGATTTCATATTAATAATATAATATTAACAATAATTTATAGCGGTGGACAACAAAGAAGGTTCTCCCTGTGTACTGCTCTTTTGCACGACCCTAGTTTGTTGATATTGGATGAACCTACAGTTGGACTCGATCCAATCATTAGTGCTAGGTAAGATATAAATATACTAAATGGTAAACAATTAAGTATATTTAGCTATTGGTGAAATCGTTAATCTTATTAAATCATTGTCATAAACACAATTACAAACTTATTAAAATTTAACAAGAAATCATCCATTCTTTTCACGTTGACTATTTCTGACAATAATTTAATATTTATGCTATAAAAAATTAATTAATTAAATAGTTACATATTTATATACTTAACTTTTATACAAATGTATAACTATTTAGCATATGGGAGTATTTACAAGATTTAACAAACCGTGGAAAAACTATAATTATCACAACGCATTACATTGAAGAAGCACGACTTGCAAATACAGTAAATATATTAATGATACATTTGTAATTAAATATCTATGATTTTAAATTCAATTTATATTCAGATAGGCTTAATGAGAAAAGGCGTTTTACTATCTGAATCACCTCCACTGGAAATTATGGCATCTTGTAATGCCGATACACTTGAAAGTGCTTTTTTAATACTCAGTCAAAAGCAAACTTCAGTTAATACAGAAATAATAGTTGAGTAAAATAGATTTGAACTTAATAGTGTAGAATACATTACATATTATGTTTGTATAATATATCATATATTTACTAATACAGTAATATAACCTTTTAGGAACAACCAAGAAGAAAATCCATACTACAACCACCTACGACGTCACTGGAAAAATCATCACTATTTTCGCTAATACGGTTCAAAGCTCAATTATTGAAACATTGGTATTGGAGCGTCAAGAATTGGACGTTAGTATAATTATACTACAATAAAATATTCAATATTTAAATTAAAATGCGCCAAATGTTTATTTTAGAATAATAGTCTTTGTTTGTCTCTTACCAATTTTCACTATATTGATTTATAATTTAACCATTGGACATGTCCCACAACCTCTCAATGTAGGAATTGTCAACTATGAAAATCCTTCACATTGCTCATATAAATCGTTTGATTTATGTGATGAAGAAATCCCACTAAGTTGCAAATTTATGAAAGAAATGGAAAAACATGATTTTACGTTGGTAATTAATATATTACATTTTATAATTTAAAATATTTTATCTTTTAAATAGTTAATTATTTTAAAAATTATATTTAAATATTATTTCTTGAAATAAAAATACCTATATTTTCTTTATTTTAATCAATCTTAAAAAGAATCTAATAAAATGATATAATAATGGCAGAAAAAATATAACGATGAGAACTTAGCAAGACAAGACGCAGAATATGGTTTTACGTGGGGTTTCGTAACATTTGAAAAAAATTTTACTGATATGATCGGTTTGAAATTTGGTGATCCATCAAAAATGAGTTCAAATGATATAGAAGAATCCGCCGTAAAAGCATCATTGGATATGTCAAGTAATATCATAATGTTTGAATTATATTATACAAAAAAAATTAATCCATTTTTATTTCAGACTATGTATTAAAAACAATAATCCAAGGAAAATTACATCAAAGTTATAAAAGTCTTACTCACGCTTTTGAAAAATGTAATAAAACTACAGTAACTACAACGTTAGATCCAGTACCAATAACAGTAAGAATATAATATACTAAACATTAATTTATCAAAAATCATTAACATTTTATTTAGATTGAAATACAATAAAACCAAATATGTTATTTTAGTTGATGCCACCTGTATTTGGACAATTATATGACATTAATATGTCACATTATGGAGCTGCAGCAGTAATATCCATGTATGTTAAAAGTCAACATGTAAATTTATATTATTTATTCTAATTTATGTAATTAACTGTAATTACTGACTAGTATATACATTTTTTAGAACATCATTTTTGTAGTAGTAAGGAGTCTATAAAAATCATGCATGATACATCACAAATTCATAATAACTCATCAATCATCTTATAGGTAGGAAATTTTAATTTCTAAATTTTTTCAAACACCACTAAAACAAAAAGTGATAGTATTGATAGAAATGTCTAAAATCTGTACTTTTCTAATAATTTATGTTTGAAGCTACAAAGAAAATTTAAAATGCTTTTGAATTTAATGTCATCTTCTGAACTAGTAGAATGTGACTTATCTAAGATTCGTATATTTTCTAGTGTTCGACTTAAACCAAGTTTTAAAAATGTTTTAGATTGGAATTATACTTGACATTCCTGTTCACATCGTTATCAATTAGTATGGAAAAAAATAGTGGTTTAATTGATAGGAGTCTTTCTTCAGGTAAATATAAATACATTTAACACATTAGATTACTTTTTAATTGAAATCAAATGTATTTTTGAACAGGACTCACCATTCTCGAAGTTATTATTTCGCAATTGGTAGTACAAATTATAATGTTAATCATTCAAACTACCACAGTTTTCGTATTACAATACATTGTGTTCGACCATCCATTCTTATGTGTATGGATTACCCCTTTTCTAATGGTGTTCTTACAAGGAATATGTGGGACATTTTTGGGTAAATAAATACATTTTATATACAAATTAAATTTCAGATTATGCATTAATTTATAAAAAATATTTAATTTAAATACTCACATAGTTTGAGTGGTGGTTTTTATATTAATATTTTAATTTGATATACTTATACTGCATTATAGGTTTTACAGCGAGTATTACTTTTGATGAAGAGAAAATCACTACGTTCTTTGGAGTATTTTTGGTTATGTCACAAGTATTCTTATGTGGTAAGTTTTTGTAAATAAACTTAAGATTAAAAAAATTATTTATATTTATATTTTAATTCAGGTATTATGTGGCCATTAGAAGCCATGGATCCAATATTAAAAAAAGTAAGTCTTTTTTTCCCGTTAACTTTATCAGTTGACGCATTTAGACAAATGACTGCAAGAAATTGGGGATTATCTCAACCAATAGTTATACAAGGATTTATATCAATATTTATTTGGATATTAGTTGCGATTTTATTTTTAATGTTAAGTCTCAAGTTAAAACAAGGTATTAAAGCGAAAAAATGAAAAACACCTGTTGTAATTTATTTAATATTAATCAGCGTATTGTAACTCTGTATTTAAGTAAATTAGTTATATGTAAATATAATTTAAGACATAAATAACTAAGTTTATAATTTTTAGTTTTTAAACAATACATACCTATAATTATTTATATTCTAAATGTTATCAAATATGGTTTTTAATTATAAAACAAAATAAATAACTACTAAATTGAGTTTTAATTCATCATTAAATATGAATTCAACTACATCACTTTTTCAATCATTCGTATAATACTCTAATGTCTAAAATATGTATTATATTCTATGAAATAGGTACTACCAATTTCTCTAATTTTATTAAATTTATTTATAAGGATTTGGTTAATTATATACAATAGACATGGGTGTCAATTACAATATTTTAGTAATAAATAATAATTAGTGAACTACCTACACAGTAATATGTGCCTACCTAAATATACTAAATATAGTTACATAGAAAAAAATTGATATCATGCTTTATGACGTGTTGATGGTATACAGTATATTAATATTATTAACAATGTAGAAAGTTTATACCTAACACCTATATTATATAAATATATATTTTATAAAAATAAAAACAATAAATAAGAGCACGAAAAAATAAAATAACCAATAGACTGTACTGCCACTACCATGTAAATGCAACAGCGATTACAACGATAGTAGTAGCAAATTTTAATGATTTACCTACTTACTGCATAATACTATAACTAATTAGTAATGCACTACTACTATTGTCTACCACTACTAATAATAATAATAGTATATTTAATACACCCAAATCAAAATACTAGAAAGTAGAAATTAAGCTTCACAGATTAGAATAATAAACAATAATTGAGAAGTTAAATGTATGATACCTAACCTATGGTTAAGACTTACGAGAGAAATACAGATGAAACAAGATATATGTAAGTATTTTATTAAAAAACAAATTATCTATTATCTTTTTTTAAATCATTAATATTAATAATAATATTTTCCGTTTGTATTCATAATATGTATTTACTATTTGATATAATATTATCTAACATTAAAATGAAATATTAATTAAAAATAATATTGTCTTAAAAGTTAAATCATTAATAATATTATAAAATAATGTATATCGTTCATCTACAATCTGCATAATGAAATTAATAGATACTTAACATTATTTTTTTTTTTTTTTACAAAAAATATAACAGTCTATACAATTTAACACAATAAGTAGATGTGAGATAGGAAACCGGGCCGCAATTTACACAATATATAACTATGACCTTTTTTGCGGGACGCAATTTACCAACTCCGAATATTATAAGTTAAACTAATATTGTATTCATATGTGTTACGCTGCACTACCGTACTGGCGAAGTATTGTTGTGAACTAATTTCTAATCGTAAAGATTTACCTTCACGTTTTAGTATGTTTTAAAGTCCAACGTTTCCATGTATTTTGAGTCGTGACCGAAATTCGGATAAGACTGTAACAGGAACCTTGCATTACATTTTTAAACTTTTCAAAAATTTAAAATGTTTATTAATGTCTTAAAAAGAGTTTAAATATTATGGTAACCATTTCAAATCCCTAAATGAATAGGTAATGATATAAAATTACAACAATGACATCAAATTATTTTTAAAACTTTTGCGTTTATAATGTTTAAAAATACCAATTTTCTCACTATTTTTTATAACATTTCCCAAATTCTAATTATTAAAAAAATAAAAACTTCTACCAAAACCATCTATTTATTTAACTATTCTTTTTTTCAAAAAGTGTCACAAAAAAAAAAAATACACATCATAAAGCTAAAAAACATTACATTCCCAGCTACGCTCAGTAGGTAGATACCTACAACTCGATAGTTGTAACTAAAACAATTGTTCTAGCAATGAAATTAATGTGACTTATTTAACATCAGTATTACCTAATGCAACTAAATATATATTCTGAAAGTAATTATTTTTTTTCATACTTGCTTAATTTACGATGTAGGCATACAGCGTGATAAAATTATTTTTACAATATCAATTAAAGATAAATTTCTGAAAAAAAAACTTTTTTTTTTAAACAAAAGTATTTTTGTTATTTTATTTACATGATGATTTACATATATAAATGGGTTTTTAAGAGTTCTAAAAAACACTTAAAAATAAATACTTTATAGGTAACGATATTATTAATATATTTTTTAATTGGGAATGTCATATGATAGTTTTAATTAAGATCTAAGACTATTTAATCTATATAGATACTTACACGTAAATTATAAAATTAACTACTAACGCTGAGAACTGATAATTTGTAGAGAAATGAATCCATAATATATTACAGTTAATCATTCGAATTATCCATTATGTACATTAATTTATTTTATTAATTCTAAAAAAAAAGTTGACATTTAATTAAGGTATACTATATAGTATTGAGATGTAAAATTTTACACCCACTAAGCTGATTTTCTGAGGGTGCCCCTGACCCAAATAATAATATAGGTAACACAGGCTCCTGCATATATTTATATATATATATATATATATTATTGTGACCACTGTCCATTGTGTAGCACGTTTGAAATTATTATTATACTTGTATATTTTTTGTCATGTTATTACCTTCCTCCTGTTCTTCGGAGGGTTCTCGAGGTCTTGTATTCGAGAATATAATCAAGCACACTGTTACGTAAATTAGATAGTAAAAGAACATGTACTAACAATAGGTATTTTAGATATGCACCTTACCTGATTCGCCACAGTGAATGCTTTATGTAAGTTCCTCGGAGAGAGATATAAGGTAACACAAATTACGAAACGACTTAAGAAAAACTTAAATTTAAATAAGAAAAAACAACTCTGATTTGACTTATAAAAAAAGAAGTCCATCTGTCGCTCGCAGAATCTTGTGTGTGTGCCATGTGGTCTTGGGAAGAGCTCTTGCTCGCTTGTCTGGTGCGCCTGCACTGGATAGTTTGGTCGATTCTCATGAACTCGATAGCTTGGCTAGTGCTCATGCACTAGATGACTTGGCTGGTGCTCATGCACTGATGAGAGAATACTATCTAGTCAAGCCAGCCAGAGTCACAGGCGGCACCATCAAAGGTCTCCGCGTTTTCTAAAAAAAATAGGCTTTCTCCTAGGCGACAGAGACCCTCATTAGACCATCTTTTGTCTCTGGCGACACACAAAATTGGACAAACTCGAGTTGGGTCCTCGATTTCAAAAACAGCATGAGTTGGGTCCCGGTATACTTTATATAATACACGAGTTGAGTCCCGGTATATTTTATAGAGTACATGAGTTGGGTCCCGGTATATTTTATGAAGTACATAAGTTGGACTAGCCTATTTGCGTTACCCAGGAGACACCACGTGGAGGTTGGCTAGAATGTCTCCCAAAAATTTTATTTTTTGTAATGTTAAGGTCTGATGTAAAAATTATTAAAATATTAAAACTATTATTAAATAATTAGATT